TCAGTTCAATATTTATTTATCTAACAAATACTTTTAGAGCACCTACTACGTGCCAGGTGTGTATTGAATAGGATGTGTATTGAGTAGGATATACTATAGCTGTCACTACAAGAGACACAAAGTTGATGAAGTCACAGAATTCTTCCTGCTCAGGAGGCACTTAAAGTCCCTGGGAGGGGAAAAAGAGACAACAACAACAACAAAAAAAAAAAAAGAAAAGAAAAGAAAAGAAAGAAAAGAAAAGAAAAGAAACACACAAAAAAGAAAAACAAAAAAATAAAGTCTATGGGAGGGGAAGGATGGGGAAGGGCCTAAGAAAAGAACACACACACACGCAGAGCACAATCCAAAAGAGACTGGGGTGCTTCCCTGAGAGGAGCACAATGCGCTAGACAGTTTGGGGGAAATCAGCGTTCAATCAGCCAAGAAAGATAGATAGGGTTGTTTGTTTGGTAAGAATTTTTATCACATAGTGATGTCCTGATATAGGAGGTGCTCAGTTTCCCACTGCTCTGGTTTCAGGACACATCTCTGGATTTTAAGCCACTCCCCGAGGTCTCAGGCCCCTCTTCTAGACTCCCCTAGAGGAAAGCTGCAGTTGCTGGTTAGACCTATTTTCAGCACCAAACCGGGAAATAAGACCACAAGGGGCCAGTTTATGCAAATCTAGTGGTTGGGCATGCTCAGTACAGAGGGGTTATGTAACCCTGGTGGTTGAGTGACCTTCCACTAGAGGTGCTAGAGAGCACAGAATATTCTTGAATATGCCTGGTGCATGTGACAGGATTTGACCAATGAACATGCTCCAAAAGGGGACCAACTGAGCATGTGCAAGACTATGTTATCCAAGTGGAAACCACCTCCTTAGTTGAATATTCATTAGATAGAGAAACTATAAAAGCTGAATCACAGCAGAAGTCAGGGCTGTCATTGTTCACCTTCCTGGGGTAATCTACACTTTCCTGGCTGAGGTGTGTACACTTCACTTTGTATCAAACTTACTTTCAGCAAGCAACTGCTCACTGTCTTTGACCAGCACTCTGTTCTAAACTTTAAGTATGTGTTTCTTACTTTTGTGTTCAACTTGGCATAGGCCCTGCTCAGTCTCTCGAGCTATGCCACACTCTCTCTGTGAAAGTGGTATCTCTCATTCATTTTATTAAACTCGTTCTCACTTTCTACTGTGACTCTGCTCTTTAATTTTTTCCTGTGGCAGAGTCAAGAACCTGGTAAAAGGACAGGGAGGGTTGAGGCTGGCTGTCTGGCTCCCGGGACCCTACCTACGACTTCAGTGGCACATATATTTATTCATATGTGTGTGAACTCTATGATGTAGGTTACTATGATTGCAAACCCCATTTTTCAAATGAAAAATGAGACACAGAAAGGTTAAGTAATTTGCCTAAACTCACATGGCCAATAATTGGTAGAGCCAGAATTCAAACCAGTGCTGAGCTTAGACTTCCTTCTTAACAAATGTGCTCAAAATCTCTTTCATCTTGTGTGCGCACCTGCACACGCACACGTACACACACTCCACCTCTGGGTCTTGCCATTTTGGGTCACCCTCTTCCAAACATAGAAGCACAGTGTCTCATCTCACCTCTCCTCTATTCTCATTCTAATTATTTTGTGGAAGCATAATATTATAGACCTCACCATCTTTTCTTTAAATGTGTATAATATTCTATGCTTTTTATTAAACCCTACATTTTTACAAGCCCTCTATTTTCTTACTCAACTAATAAAATCCTGCTTGAAGCCAGAGCCTGAAAGCTTCTAATTAACTATTACTTGTGAAAAGAAACTCTAGGGAGATGAGGTTATTGGCACAGGTGTAAGATGTGGCCAAAAGTGTGCACAAGAAGGAAAGTCCTTGCAAAAGACATACAGTCATACCATTCTCTGTCTTGTAACCATAAAAGTACCTCCAGAGATTATCCATGGAAACAACAGAACTTCACAAGTTCAATGTCATTGTCTGTGAAATGCAACCATTAATCTCAAAATCTTGCATAGGAGTCAGTTGTCATGGGAAACAGCTTCCAACCTGGATCAGTTTTTTCCTTAAGTATATACAAAAGTATATGTAAATGGCCTGGGGTCCCTGGCTAAGCAAAAGAGCCGAGAACTCTAGTTGACTTTTGGCTGATTGGGCCCAAAGGAACATCAGCATTGTCGCCTTTTATGGCATGAACTCTAGCTTCTGCTCCATTCAGGGCCTCACCTTTTGACTTTCAAGAGCCTAGCTTGGAATTAAAAAAAAGAAAGAAAAGAAAGAAAATAGACTAACATTTTTTTCCCTCTTTTCTTTACTGCTATTGCATTCTTTTTTTTTTTTTCCTTTTTGTCTTTTTTCGTGTCCAGCAACGGTTCGCAACCCTCAGTGTCGCGCCCGTACCGGATGGGGACCGGCAACGGGATCGCAACCCTCGGTGTTGCGCCCACACCTCGCTCAGCCAGTGAGCGGGAACCGGTCTGTATGTGGGATCCGAACCCTGGGCGGGAGCGCCACTGCACTCCCAAGCGGCGCACTGTAAAAGCAGTGCGCCACCGGGCCGGCCCATCTTTTTTAATCTTTTAATTTTTTTTTTTTTAGTTCTATTTGATTGCTGCTGCATTCTAATTCTCTCTGAGGCCATGTGGATGCTGCCAATTGGCTAGGAGAATGGTGGGAATGTTTAGAAAAGAAGAAGGAAAAATTAAAATTTTAAGATGTTACCTTGTTATATCTGTACATACAAGCAGTCACCTCAACACATCCCTAGGGTGCTGCTCAGGCATCTCAAAGTCATTAGGTCCCCAGGTCGCCTGAGCCTTGTCACCTTGCTCCTCCCCTGGATCCCAGTCCTAGTCCTAGTCCATCTACTCCCAGGACCTGAACTGGAGCTTCCCTTTCCTTCACCCATCCAAGTTCTGACAACTCTTCCTCCTGCATCTCTAAAATCCCTTCCCTCCTCTCCATCCCTTACTTCTCATTATCACCCACAGCCTCCGAATTTGCCACCCTGCCTCTGGATACTCCTCCCCTCCAGTTGATTTCCACATTGCTGCCTGGTTAATTTTTAGGTTTGCAAACCTTATTATGTCACTCACCCATTTGAAATCATTCAGGGTTTCTCATTAACAGAGTAAAGGCAACTGCAAAAGCTTTGGAGTGTTTAGGGGACTGAGAAGAAGCCGGGGTGGTGGGCACGCAGTGAGAGGCAGGAGAGAATAGTCTATGATGAAGCTGGAGAGGTGGGTGGAATAAGAAACCACTGAAGAAATGAAGCAGGGGAAAGACTGGTCTGATTATTAGTTTAGAGGGATCACTCGGGCTGCTACATAAACAGTCATGCCTTTTCAACAAATGGTGCTGGGGTAACGACATCTGTACTAGTCAGGGCTCTCCAGAGAAACAGAGCCAATAGGATATAGAAGGATATAGATGATATAAATATGGATATAGATATGGATATATGAGAGAAGATTTATTATGACAATTGGTTCATGTGACTGTGGAGGCTGAGAAGTCCCAAGATTGGCCATCTGCAAGCTAGAGAACCAAGGAAGCCAGTGGCATAGCTCAGTCCAAGTCTGAGGCCTCAGAACCAGGGAAGTCAATGATGTAACTCTTAGTCTGAGGTTGGAGGCCTGAGAATCTGGGGGACTGCTGGGGCAAGTTTTGGAGTCTGAAGGTCAGAGAACCTGGAGTTCTGATGTCTGAGGACAGGAGAAGAAGAGTGTCCCAGCTTCAGAAGAGAGAGCAAATTTGCCTTTCATCTGCCTTTCTGTTCGATCTAAGCCCTCAACCAATTGCACAGTGCCCACCCCCATTGGGTAAGGTGGATCTCCCCTACTCAATTCACTGACTTAAATGCGAGTCTCTTCTGGAAACATGCTTCCAGGCATACTCATAAATAATGCTTTACCAGCTATATGGTTGTTTCTTAACCCAGTCAAGTTGACATCTAAATCTAACCATTACAATATATATATATGCCAAAAAATGAACCACAACCTAACCCTAATGTGAACCTTATACATAAATTAACTCAAAATGGATCACATTCTACACATGGGTATATAGCCAACTGAAATGCACATATGTGCACCAAAAGACATGTACATAGCTATCCATAGTAGAATTTTATCTGTAATAGCCATAATAGGAAACCACCTAAATGTCCATCCACAGTAGAAAGGCTAAATAAATAAATGGTGGTATATTATATAAGTGGTACACAGTGAAAGACTGCAGCAATGTCTCTGTCTTCAATAACTTGTATTAACATTACAATCATTGAACAAAGAAGCTAAATGCAAAAGAATAAAACACCACGTAATTCCATTATATAAAGCCCCAAAACAAGGCGAGATGCAACCGTGGTATTTAGGAGTACATGCTTAACTAGCAAAAATATTTGTTCAAAAACACCAAAATGATTATCATCAAAATCAGATTCATGATCACTTTGGAGGAAGGGAGCAGGAAGGATGGGGAGGGGAACAAGAGGGACTCCTGAAGTGCTGGTGCTCTAGTTCTCAACTGGGTCATGCTACATGAGGGTTTGCTTTGATAAACCATTGTGCTGGACACTTTGTTTTGTCTTTTTTTTTTTTTTTTTTCAAAAGATGACCGGTAAGGGGATCTTAACCCTTGACTTGGTGTTGTCAGCACCGCACTCTCCCGAGTGAGCCACGGGGCCAGCCCTGGACACTTTGTTTTGAATGCTTCTCTGTATTGTTGTTATAATTCACAATGGAAGAGCCTCAAGAAAGTAAAGAGAGGTGAAGGCAGAATGTGATAGAAGGGGACGCAGGAAGGGCCCGGGCAGTGGAAACAGTTACAGGGCCCTGTTCGTGAATTTGATTTGCCAATGAGATGTACTCAGTGCAATTTGGAAGGCAGAAGTGAGATGGAGCCTCCTTCCTGCCCCTTCACCTGTCCCCCCCCAGCAAGCACAGTTGGGAGGTTTGGGGTTTCAGCAGCTGTATCCCAGTGTCTAGTCACTCACTTCGTAAGCGCTGAAGGATGCAGCGGTGGCAGGGGTCTCTTGACCACCAGATCACAACTACAGTGCATGTCCTTGGACATGACATCCACAGTCTCAGTCTCCTGCCTGGCAATGGGCAGGTGTATATAGGAAAAACAAATTGTTTTTCTCTGTATTCACACTGAACACTTGGTGACCAGATGTGCAGGCTTTTTCCCACACTGGCCAATTCTCCAACACCAGCTGGGTGTCGTACAACTCAATTTAATTCTGACACTAACCAGAGTTAGTGCAGGCACCACAGGTTAAGGACCCAGTCCCACAAGACTGCCCACCCCCTGCCTCAGATGCCAATCTCAAATAATAGGCCCCCAGGTTACCCACTACTTCTGTCCAACTTGGCTACAAAATTGGAGCTTCCCACGACCCTCTCCTTAGGATTGATGATTTGCTAGAACAGCTCACAGAAACCAATGAAACAATTTACTTACTATTGCCAACTTATTACAAAGGATATTTTAGCCAGATGAAGAGGTACGTAGGGTAAGGTCTGGAAGGGTCCGGGAGCTTCTGTCCCCTGTAGTTAGAGTGCATCACCCTCCTGGCACACGGATGCGTTAACCAACCTGGAAGCTCTTTGAACCCCATCTTTTACGGATTTTTATGGAGGTTTCATCAGGGAGGCATGATCAGTTATTACCAATCACTAGCCATTCTCCCCTCCCTGGAGGATGGGGAGTGGGCTGAAAGTTGGAAGCTTCTAATCATGGTATGGTCCTTTTGGTGACCATCTCCCACCCATTAGGCCAACAAAAGCATGATCAGTTATTACCAATCACTAGCCATTCTCCCCTCCCTGGAGGATGGGGAGTGGGCTGAAAGTTGCAAGCTTCTAATCATGGTATGGTCCTTTTGGTGACCATCTCCCACCCATTAGGCCAACAAAAGTTGTCTCATTAGGACCACAGATGCTCCTATCACCCAGAAAATTCCCAGGTATCCCAGGGAGCTCTGAGCCAGGAACCTGACATCTGGGAGAGAGGTGAGCTGCAGCTTTGGAAAAGAGCAGGGGCTGGGAAGGCCTGTGCATAGCTGCTGTTTGGAAGCTGGACTCCACCAGCCTTTGCTAATCCTCCATGGCTAAAGGTTTCCACTCGCAGAGTTCTGGCTTTTCCTGCCTCCCAATACAACGTGGAATTTGTGGGTTCTGGGAATATGGGTATTGAAAAACAAGAAGTGCTTTGGAAACCATGCTGAGATCTGAGTTGCCTATAATTGATCAGTTCCTGCCTCCAATGTGGTCCAGCAAGCTGAGACAATGTGACAGGGAATTTAAACCCTCCCTAAGGGAAGACGCCTACTTAATGTGTAACAAAGATGAATATTCCACCCTCTGTGATTGTGAAAGACTCTGGGCTGCCTGACATCTGGCCACAATCTCAGCACCCTGATGTTGTTTTTGCTCCACAATGTTCTTTGTTTTCTAAATCAGCCAGAGAAAAATTGTCTTGATTCTCAAGTTCTTAGGGTGAATCAATACAATGATTAATAAAAAAAGAATTTTTGCATTTTTAAAGTAGTAAACATTTTAACTACTTAGTACCCACCTGGAATGTATAGGATGGCCAGGGGCTTAGAGGGAATACAAGACCTTCTGCTTACTGCAAGCTGTTTGAAATTACCCTGCCACTAAGGTAACAGCATCAACTGAATATATTGTGTAAAGAAAAATAAACTCAATGTTCTCAAGACATATGAAAGTCACCAGTTTAGGCCCTTTTTTCAAGGAAGATAGTTAAGTGGAGAAGCTCGTCGAGCTATACACACACGTACCACACACTAGAACCCATGAAGCGGAGGTGTAGAAACAAGCCTAGAGCTTGTTACCGTCAGACCTCCCCTAACCAGAGATAACTTTACCAGGAACTTAATACAGCCAGTTTTTGGAATAACTGTTCCTCAGGCATGTGAAGGGCTAGGTAGACATCAGAAGGGAAAGGCCCGCTGGAGGACCCAATACCTATGGCCCTTTTTATACCTGTTAATATTCTCAGTATCAGTTCAGCAACCTTGAATTAGAGAACAATCCTAAGTTAGATGTACAGCTTATTAGGTGGCTGCTATGGTGAGTGGAAGTTATTTGTTTGTTTGTTTGTTTGTTTAAATTGTAAACCGCAACTAGGTGGACTTTGATGAGCCTCTTCCCTGTGTGTGGAAGGAGAAATTTCATTTTAAGAATTGCTTGTGAGGCTGGTCAGTTAGCTCAGTTGGTTAGAGCACAGCCTTCTAACACCAAGGTCAAGGGTTTGGATCCCCATACCGGCCAGCTGCCAAAAAATATAATAAAGAATTGCTCATGAAAATTCTGAAAGTGGGGCCGGCCCGGTGGCGCACTGGAGAGTGCGCCGCTTGGGAGCGCGGTGGCGCTCCCGCCGAGGGTTCGGATCCCATGTGGAGACCGGTTCCCGCTCACTGGCTGAGCACGGTGCGGGCGCAACACCGAGGGTTGCGATCCTGTTACCGGTCAGTAAAAAAGACAAAAAGGAAAAAAAAAAAATTCTGAAAGTGGATGAACCCATTCACTCCATCCCTCACTCTCTTACTCGTTCATTAATCCTTGAGCAAATGATCCTGAGCCAGGTGCTGGAGGTTTAAAAAAAAGAAAAAATTGAAAAACCAAAAACCCTGCCTCCAGGGAACATACAGACTAGTTAACAAATAGATTAAGTGCAATGTGGTAAGTATATAAAGGAGAGTAGAGGCCTGACTGTGCTTAAAGTGTGAGGGAAGATTTCATTGATTTGGGGTTTAAAGGATGAGAAGTTTACATGAGATCCTGAGTGGTGGGCAGAAGGTGCGGGGCAAATGAATGAGAAGTTTGTGTGAGATCCTAATTGGTGGGCAGAAGGGGCAGGACAAATGAGTGGGAAGTTTGCTCGAGATCCTGAGTGGTGGGCAGAAAGGGTGGGGCAGGGCTCAGCACACAGAGGATAGGATGTGTGGAGGAATGAGAAAGGATGCATAGTCTTAGAGCAATGAAGAGCAGGGAAGAGTAACTGGGGAAATAGGGAGAGGCCCGATCATGGACTTTCTAACAGTAGGAATTAGGATTCTGTTTGTGAATACTAGGGAGCCATAGAAGGATTTAAAGCAGGAGAGTGATATGATCAGAATCATGTGTTAGATGGAGAAATCTCCTTGGGATGCATTGGAGGCAGCCAGCAATGAGAGATTGTTGTGATAATCCAGGTGAAGGATCAAATGGGGTTAAACTGGCCAGTGGCAGTGGGCTGGAAGGTCAAAATTAATCGTGTCAGTGTTCATGGGGTAGAATTAACTGCAGGGCTTATGAGGTCATTAGAGGCCGATCACCAAAATGAAAGGAGTTTGGTCCCTCGAGAAGAGTACTGGAACTCGGTCAGAAGAGAAGGGCCAAAAGGGCTTTCCCAGATATTGCTCCCCCGTGGCAGGGATAGGCAGAGAAGTGAGAGGAAAGGGCTGGCCCGGTGGCGCACTGGATAGTGCGCCGCTTGGGAGGCGCAGCAGCGCTGCCGCCCGAGGGTTCGGATCCTACATACAGACCGGTTCCAGCTGACTGGCTGAGCCAGGCGCAGGAGCAACACCGAGGGTTGCGATCCCGTTGCCGGTCCCGGTCCGGTGCGGGGGCGACACTGAGGGTTGCGATCCGTTGCCGGACACGGAAAAAGACAAAAGACAAAAAAAAAACAAAAACAAAAACAAAGAAGTGAGAGGAAAGGAGGCTAGGGAAAGAGGGACAGCATTCACCAGGCTGCACTATGCCTGTGAGTTCACACTGTGGTGTAGGCCTAACAATCTGATAGAACATAGATAAAAATTTCAGCTTGACCAAGACTCGGGGATGTCTTTTTGTATTTGCTGTAAGTTCCTCTCAAAAAAGAAAAAAATAAAACTATTTTGAAAAATGTAGTAGGGCCGGCCCAGTGGCGCACTGGATAGTGCGCCGCTTGGGAAGCGCGGCGGCGCTCCCGTCTGAGGGTTCGGATCCCACGTGCAGACCAGCTCCCGCTCACTGGCTGAGCG